ATATATACGTTTCGTTGACTTTCGTTGACCGGGCCGGGCCTATAACCGGTTACATAACCGGTCCCGGTCCCAAAAAACGTCAAAAACCCTAACCGGATCATAACCGGCGGTCCCGGTCGGTCCCGGTCCCTCTCCGGTCCCGGTCCCGGTCCTCCGTCGGTTACGGGCCGGGCCGGGCCCATTTGGCCATCTCTAACCGGGACTGGGACCGGTTATGATTTTTACGAAAATTCAAAGTTCGGCTCAGTCAGGTACTGGGAAAGTGGGAATGATTATCCATAGGTCCAATTTTAGGGGTTTTAAAAATTATATAACAATTTTCAACTTCTTTTTTGCAGTTTTTTGAAGTTCTGTTAAGTGTTACAATACTAAATTACAAAATCGTGATAAATAAAAAAACATTTATAACATTTTTATGTAAAAAAGATTTGAGAAAATAATTAAAGTGTATTTGAATTACTCAATTAGATATTTTAGAGTGTATTTCAATAAGATATTGTTCAAAGAAAAGAAAATTTTCAAAAAAAAAAAACTATATGCTCAAATTTGATTTTTTGAAAACAAAATGTGTCCGAATAGGGCCTAGCCCGAGACCCCGACTGGTTCTAAGGACCGGGCTTTATACATGGAGAATACTAGGGTTGTTCATCGATTGAAATTCATTGGATGTGAGGGGAACTGAACCGATCCAATCATCCATTGAATGTTGGATTTTGCCAACCGATCTGATCCGATTAATATTGGATAACCGATTCAATCGAATCCAATGGATGATTGAATCGGTTCGGTTCCATCCATTGGATACTTTTCTTGGATATCCAATGAATGATTCGTTGGGATTAGATCCATCAAGTGTGTTAATTCAATCCAATTCTTCAACAATGATACAAATTAATTAATCACTTTTAATATGTGTTAAAACTAACACAAAGGAAGTTAAAATTTCAAAGTCTCACATAAAACAAATTCCGGTTTAAGCAATTTGAAAATAAATTTATTTGATGATAGTTGGATAATGGTTGGATGGACAACAAGATGGTCATCGGATGATTAATTGGGTGGGTAATTGGATGTTGATCGGTTCGGTTTTGGTCAGTTCTAGATTGCCATCCGAGAACCGAACCGATCCAAATTGGATGTTGAAATTTTCAATCTGATCCGATCCAATTACAATTGGATATCCAATTATAATCGGTCGGTTTCAATTGAATCGGTTGATTTTCTGCACACCCCTAGAGAATAGGGCGGACATTTATGGTCGGGACTAGAATCGATTACAAGAGTACAATTTTGTATCAGAACCGATTTTTAGCCTTCTATGCTCCGCACGAAAATAGCAAGAAACAAAGGCCCACACTTAAAAAACTTCATAAACAATTTAGTTATGATTGTGATGCATGGCATTTTTGGATCAATTAGTTCCTTCACTTCAACTTATGACATGAAATAAGTAAGATGTATGAGAAACATCCAAAATATTACAAAAAGCCCAACTTCAAGATGATCTATCTATGTACATGAAAACTCAAACCCGTATTGACGAAACACTTGTCAAATTCACATATTACCTTTAAAATAGTTTAGTCAGAAAAAAATTAGTAAAACTGTTAGAAAATGCATTTAAATCATCAATTTCAACCCTTCGAGTATAACCACACGATCATTAATACCCTTTCGTTCATCATCGTTTTTCAATAATCCAACTCAAGAAGAATGAAACGGGATTTATGTTAAAGTTGTTAATGAGGATTGAATGCTAATGCAGCGATTAGCAGTTGAATACAATGTTTGCGAGGATTCATGCGTTATCTTTGGCTTTTGTACTTGATTAGACGAAATATGTTGGATGTCATGATCATCATCAATAATACTGCAATAAGAATTAACTCAAGGCATTATTATTAACCAATGGGTCCCCAAACTTGATTTCTTGATCACGACGTGATTCCGATAAAAGTAACATCTACGGAATTAAACAAACGATCTTTTAATGAACCTTTTCTATTACAATTGACACGTATACAAAACAATAACTATTCTTTTGTATTGCAATAAAGTATGTCATAAAATATATCGTATACCATATACCATTTTTGTTATTGAACTGTTTTATTTTAGTTTGCAGTCTTTAAAAGAATTTTCTTTTAAATTAACTAACAAGTGTAACCTTTCAAAATAGTTTAGTCACATTATTGTAATAAAACCATTAGAAAATTCATTTACGTCGTCAACTTCAACCATTCGAGCATAACCACAACTATCATCAATATCCTTTTGTTCATCATCGTTTTTCAATAATCCAAGAACGAAGCGAGATTTATGTTGAAGCTGTTATGAGGATTTGGTGGCAATGAGACAATTAGCAGTTGGATACAATGTTTGTGAGGATTCATACGTTATCTTTGGTTCTGTACTCGATTAGATGAAATGTCTAAGAAATCATGATCATCATCGATAATACAGTAACAAAAATTAGGTAAGATTTATATTAAAAAAAATTAGTAGGATGGTCAATTTGTGAAAAATGAAAAGTTTGTAATGCTAAGATTGATCTTATGAATACAAAGTTATGAACTCAAAACTCAATAAATACTTGTTTTCTGTTTTCTTGTTGGATCTTGTCTTTTAAAAAGAGGAATGATGGGGAAAATGAAGGGTTTTGAAGAATAGTCGGTGATCGCTTGTGTAATTCTTTGGGAGATTGGAAATACCATCGCCAAGAATAAAACCCATCTGCCTTTCACTACCTTCATCTTCTGTTGCACCATAGCAATCACATACTTTCCCTTCATTCACAATCCAATGTCCTCACTCAACCAACTTTAACCCTAATCCACAATAACCCATCAAACAGGAACAAAATTCCCCAGATGCGAAATCAAGAATGCCCATTTGAATTGGTGGAAATCAAGAACGAATAGCCTGGTCTTCTTATCAAGAAGATGTTTTTTGGGGCCGTCCAATTGGGAATAATGGCGGCCTGTGTAGTCTTGTTTGTGCCAATGGGTATGGCAGGGTGGCATCTGAGCCGTAATAAGGTTCTCTTCTTCAGCGGCGCTCTTTTCATCACTCTTGCTGTATGTATTCATCTTATTCCTTATTTCCCTTCTATGTTTCCCCCTGTTCTGTTACAGCAAGAACAACAGCAACAAGATCCTACTTCTTGCATTTCTTTACTAAACGAGGTTACTTATTTCCCTAACTCTCATGGGTTCTCATGGAATTGGGAAACCAACTCTGGATCTCATGATTGTGATTTCCAAAAGTTGGGTCGCCCCGATGTTTCAGACCTGTTAAACGGGTCGTGGGTTGTTGTTGCGGGAGATTCACAGGCGCGACTGTTTGTGGTGTCTTTATTGGATTTGGTTTTGGGTTCAGACGAGATGGAGTCGATTCAAGACGATTTGTTTAAGAGGCATAGTGATTATCATATTGTTGTTAAGAAAATTGGCTTGAAGTTGGACTTCCTATGGGCGCCTTATGCAACTAATCTGACTGATATTATCATCGGGTTTAAGCGAAATAAAATTTACCCTGATGTGTTGGTGATGGGTTCAGGGTTGTGGCATATGCTACACTTCACAAATTATTCGGATTATGGTGTTTCTTTGGGGTTGCTGAGGGATTCTTTGGTTCCATTGCTTCCGGTGTCACCTGAGTTCAATGCGGCTGGGCCTGATATGGGATCTGATCCTATTCGAGCACTCCATTTGTTTTGGTTGGGCATGCCGACATTGATAAACCGGATGCTAAATACAGAGGAGAAAAGGGTAAAGATGACCCATGAGATGTCTAATGCTTATGATCAAGAGCTTCATAAAAGCAAGATCTTGCGCCAAGATGGTGGCCCTTTTCTGTTACTAAATGTTGCGATGCTAAGCAATAAATGTGGCGTTGATTGTTCGTTAGACGGGATGCATTACAATGAAGCTGTTTATGAAGCTTCTGTTCATGTTATGCTTAATGCATTGCTTATTGAGTCTCATCAAAAGCTATGATATAGATGATTCTTGATCTCTTCTTTCCGCTTGAAGTAGCAATTTTCTTGAAGATGGGTTTACAGACACCACTTATGCTTTTGATATCAGCAAGTATGATTTCTTGCTGTTGATGCCGATTAACATAATATCAACATCAGCAAGTCATTCATCTCGGATTAGTTGGGGTATGCCAAAAAACGAAACCCAGTAGAGTTACATTCTTTTCAACACATAGGAGTGTGATGATTAGATGCATATAGAGTTCCATCTCTTTTTTCAGTGTCAATCAATGCTATAGAATTGCACCAATTGTATTCAGTAGAAAACATTTCAAGATTTGCAACCATGTTGACATGAAAAGATACAAAAGTTTGTCCAAAATTGCAGTTTCATTCCAGGTGATTTTGATCTTGTTATATACCCCTGTGCCGTTTAGATTCATCCTCTGCCTTTATATGTTCTGATAAATTGGTATGAATTTGAATGTGGAAAATCTGGAACTTGTATGATGAGCTAAGCTAGGAACTAAAACCGGCTGAAACTTGATTTAGATGTAAAACAAAGATTAAAGAGATTGTCGAAGCCGTTTTACCACTTTACTTTATGGATTTCATGCTAAGTTTATTACATTATAATATGAATGTACTTGTGTTTGAAAGTCTTTATCCTTTACTGAGGCATGGTGGCCAGATGTGGAAGAGAAGAAGCACCTTTCCTGGAAATTCTGTACATAAAGAAGTTAGATTTGAACAAGAAAGGTAACCCTCTTCCATTTTACTAGTGGTATCACTTTGAATGTTGTTTTGTTATAACTGGTTTTTTCTAAACTTGTGTTCGATTACTGTTGGAGAAACTGTGAAGCTTGTAAGGGTACATAAATATGTGGGTTGATGTGAACATAGACCTTTAACTAAGCTATTCCAATGTCTTTGTTTGTGAAGTGGATGTACCTTTTGCTTGATCTATAAGAAGAAAACAGATATTTGAAACAGTCTGAAACATATAAGGACTCAAGTTTATCAACTATGGGAGGCAGCAGGTTATTGAGCATGGGTTAAGAGTTGAGACTTAGTTTCTGAGAAATCAATATTACTAGATCCTTAAGTTAGACTAGACTAGGTGTGCATTCCACACCTTGCTTATGTTTTTGTTGTACTTGCATCTCTTCACATCTATCTCTCCCTTTCATACACTTTTCACTGGACAGGACACAAACAACCACACTGCTGTTTAGGATATAAGTCAGGTATATATATACATCTTAACCCCACCCCACCTCCGGGGGGATATAGTAGGCTCGTTTGGTTTTAAACGATGTGCAGCCTTGGCGGTATTGGATATGAAAGAAGTTGTGGTAAGCATATTTGATGGTTAAAATCATACAAACAAGAACAGGATGGAGTAGGCCTTCGGTCCCAACAAAATTGATGGAACAAAATCATATAATCAGAGACAAGATCGATAAATTAAAACCCTAAAACCTTTTCTTCAATTTGAATCAAATAACTCATCATACAGTGAACATTTTTCTTACACTGCAGTTAACAAAAAAAAAAAAAAAACAGACAACAGGGGAAGTTTTCTTACAGTTTATTTTATACAATTGAAAAAATTGTTCCAGTGTGCATTCCGCAAAAAGACTAGGTTCTATGGTTGTGATCCAGTCCAGTGGTATGTTACTCAAGAAACTGCTTGCCCTCGAAGTTCTGTCCGAAATTCCAATCTTTTGGAGCAACATTATAAGATGTAAGAGTTAAGCCATCGCTACTAGTCACCTCGAAAGAAAGTGGTTGATTTTTTAGGTCAGCATTTATGTGCCAATTCTGTCCCCAATTCCTATTCATTGGAAGCCATCCAGTTCTGGAACCCTTAATCTTCACTGCCGCTATATCTCCTGCACCACCAACATTGCTAATCAGCACCGATAAGAACACTCCAGCTCCATCAATGGTGAAACGTATTCCCCCTTCCTTTCTGCACTTTATCCTGTCACCGAACACCCAAGATATATGTATTTTTTTACAGAACAATCATTCAATATGTATTTTTTGTGTGTGTGTGTGTGTTTGAACAAAAAGAGAGGGGGGGGGGGGGGGGGGGAATACCTGCGATACTGAATGGGCATGTTTGAAGCCTTCCAAATCGCAATCTTCTCGAAAATCTCAATCGGTAAAACAAAATGAGCGTTGGGAGGGTTGCATTTGCCGCCACCGTCTGCAGGAAAGCCGTAGTTGGGAGCGCAGAAATTAGTGGCCGTCACAATAATAGAAGTCCCCGGAATGCACCACCGGAGATCCTCTACACACCTGACCTCGAAACATGCGCCACAGATCTGTCCTTTCTCAAACAGTACAGTACTGAGGGCAGCCGTGGCCTTCCCGTACCCTGCCCCCTCCAGATCACCGTAACCACAGGCGCCGCCGACGGCATCAGCCGGATCAGCTGCCGCGTAGTAGGTTGCCCTGGCAGATCTCCACTCGGACAGCAACTCCGATGACGAGGTGGAGTAGGGATAGTGAGCAAATACTAGCAGTATGGAGTTGGAAATGGTTAGAGAGAGAAGCAGGGTGAGTGACAGCATTTTCTAGAGAGAGAAGGGAAAGTGGTGAAGTGCGTTTTCATTGTTGTCCATTGCAGCTTTATGCTTCCATATCCTCGAACACATGAAATATTGAGAAGTAATTTGGGTTTGGACCGACAACCTTACTTGTTCTGGTCGGTTAAGAAATTAAATACATGATACATAATTCTAATTTTAATTTTTAATTTTTAATTTACGAGTATAATAATTATATGATTAGAATTACTTAAAAATTTAGTGTATAATTAAAAAAAATCGTAGCTGGATTGGAGGATATTTACAACTATTTTTTTTTTTGTCTGAGAGAGGAAGGTGGACAACTTCTTCATTAAATCTGATTGCAATAATGCATTTAATCTTGTTAATAGCATAACAATGGGTATTGTAATTTGAAAATTTTATTAATTATAAATAGGGGTGTTCAAAAACCCGACCAACACGATCAACCCGATTAACTCAACCCAACACGAAATAACTCAACCCGAAACAACCCGATATCTAATCGAGTTGTAAAATTTTCAAACCGTAGGTATTGGGTTATTATTATTTGAACTCAACTCAACCCAATGAATCTGATATCCATTTATTTCTTGAATTTAATATGATTATTGAATTTCTATTAATATATAGACTAGACAATTACGTTATCACGTATGCTATTCATATACATATCTTTTCAATCTATTCATATCTTTATATAACTCATTCGTATATATGTTCAGTAACTGTAAACATATATACGTAAATTGAGAAAATTAATTGAATGTGATATACGTAAGGAGTATGAATAAGTTGTATCAAATGATTGATGATGAAAAAGAAATTATGAGTAGAGAAATAATATATTCAAGATTAGAAAAATATTTTAATGTACCAAAGTATCAACCCGACCAACCTGTATGGTTTGGGTTGGGTTGCACTTTTTGTTTGGGTTGAGCTAGGTTAAGATTTTTCAAACCAATGCTCGTAAGCATTGGGTTGGGTTGTTCAAATGTCTTCAACCCGATCAACCCAACCCATGAGCACCCCTAATTATAAGAATGAATAACCTTTTAATTTGAATTAAGATGACACGACACATATTACGATATTTCTACATCATGTCACTGTTTACGTGTAACATAATCCTTACTCAAAAAAAGAATTCGACATAAGGATTCCACTTTCTACGTGAAATTCAACTACATGGTTAAAAAGTGAATTTAGTTTTGTGGTTTGGTCATTTTCATAAATTTTTCTATATAGAGAATAAATCACATATTTGGTCCCTGTGGTTTTTATAACACATTTGGCCTCTATGATTAAATTGACGTAAAATGTCTCTTAATTAATTTATTTAACAGAAAAATCTAATGAAGTTAATGAGAGGAACCCAACACGTTATAAATTATAAATCACAAAGATGTAATTTATGGATATTTTAAAATATATAAACCATGTAATTTACTTTTACATTTTTAAACCAAAGAAAGTGCAGATAAATAATGTATCGACCATTTAGAAAAGATGGGATGTGAATGTGATGATGAGAAAGTGGGATTTTGCTGGTGGAAAAACAATGGCGGTTGTTGGAGACAAATCTTTATTGCTTGTTTACGAATTACGTGATTTTGTAATTATTAAGTTACCACTTCTTTTATAAAAAACAAAGAATTTCTGAATCCAAATTTATTATGTCTTTCTATAATATATCTTTTCAGTTCAAATATATGCAATTATATATCAGGGTTGGGGTTCCGGTGAGAAATATAAGAAGGGATCCTCCACCCTTGAATGTACCAGATCAATCCCCGATTAAACGCATTTATGAGTGAATTTGAGATTAAAGGTGATCAAATGTTCAAATTCGTTATTACGCTTCTCACATTAACTCTCCTTAAGATTAAAGGTGATCAACGATTCAGATCTTTTCTTACGATTCTTAACTTAACTTTATTTCTCACACGATCTCTCGTCTTGTATACTAATATCATTTAACAAGAAGTTTTAAACATATTAGAATTAGCTTATAATTTTGACTTTTATAATTTCTAGTCAAAGTTGCTTCCTTTCTAATCTTCATGGGAGCAGTCAAAGCAATTTAATTTAATCATTTGTTAAATTAAATATATGATGAATAAATGTCATAAGAAAATGCAATGGTGGACAAAGTTAAGTCGAGTAAAGTGAAAATTATAGATAATTGGTCAAACGTAATAACTTTTAAATTTAAAATTACAATTTACACTTCTATAATTACTTAATACTTTACCTTATAATTTTTACTTTTATTTTTTTATTTTACACTTTTATTATATTACCATGTATAATCGTATATTCATTAAAATACGTGTTTTTTTTAATAATTTACGTTGTTATAATTGTTTCATCAATACCTTCGAAAAACAAGCCTAATATTGAGTATTTTTAGATTTAATCATATTATTATATTAATAAATAATATGAAATCATTTTTAATACATACATTTTAAACCTTTATAGTTATTTATTTAATTTCTATATATACTTTAGTTTGTCATTTTTTATTTACAATCTTATCATATTAATATACATAACCAATATTAATTAAAATACATTAAAAAGAGTGTATTTCTTTTTACAAATTACATAGTTAAAGTAGTTTCGTCGATAACTTCAAAAGAAACCCAATAATGAGTATTTTTGGAAATTAAGTATATTACTAATCATCATAAGTACATAAACATTTTCCCCATGATTGAACGCTTACATTTTATACTTTTATAGCTATTTAAAGATGAGAAAATTTTGAAAAAAAACCTAATGAATTTTCTCATTTTGAATGATTAAGTATCTGAATAAATAAATAAAATAATTGATCTTTCTAATTCGTCAATACCTTCAAAAACAAGTCACTATTGAATATTTTTAGATTTAATTTATCATTACATAAATTTTTAGATTTAATTTATCATTACATAAAATTTTATCTTTACATCGTATTCGTAAATATGTTGATTTATTAGACTGATAATATCATAAATGTTATTTTATGTCTAATAGTGTTTTCTATTTATAAAATAAATAATAAAAAAACTAAAAATTAATAAACTTTTAATAAAAACAATAATCGTAAAGATTATTTTTTATTTGTTTTAACAATAAAAATACCATTAAATTTGGAGTTATAAAACGAATTACACTAGACTAGAGTACTTAATTAAAGATTAAAAAGAGATTTACTATAAATAAGAGGGGGTATGAATAGCATTATTTTTTTAAAAAGAGATTTACTATAAATAGCATTTTCTTTTAGAAATGAAATACACTTTATTTATTAATACATTTACTTAAAAAATAGAAAATATTTGTATTTTTTTAAACCTTATAATCTTATATTATAATTAAAAATTACAAAATTGAGAAACCAATGTTTTGAATCTGTCTGTTACTCAAAATTATCAAACTAATTTCTTAAGTGTCATATAAAATTGAGATTTAATAATTACTTTCACTATTTACTTTCATACATCAAAATCAAACCAATTTATTAAATGTTATATCAGCATAAAAAAATTATATTTTAATCAAATAACAAAAAATCTTCAATTAAGTATTCTTTATTATAGTTTAATATGAAATTATTAATTTATAATTGACAATAATACAATATTATAGAAAATATAATTATTCGCTGATCTATTATTGGTGTTCTAACGACTTGTCACGACAGCTGATGACATGAAACTTAAGAATTATTGTTTTACATTACGTTAAACATGTGGCATGCTATAGGATAATGTACGGTACACGATATTTGACGATTTATAACTAAATAAATATAAAATATATATTGGTATATTTTTTCTAAAATAATTGCATACACGTTTTACATTTTCTTTAAACATGTGCCAAAATATCATAAAAATTGACTTGACATTAAACAATTACCAAACACAATTTATTATTTATAGATTAAACTTTACAATTTTTAATATTAACTACGATATCAACTTATGAATCATTTAATTTACTGTAATTGTCATTTGCAATCCATTAGATTTACGATGGTTGTTTATTTTACCTCTTAATAGTTTTATTAAGAGGTGAATCTTGTTTGCCAAAAAAAATTTGTTTCTTAATGGTTCTAAAACCCTCTGAACGATTTTATATCTTGGGTCTTCCATAACCATTCAGCGTTCTAATTTCATTATGAACAATTATCAAACAATTATATTTCATTTTGCACCATATCATAAGAGTCTATTAATCGTTCTGACAACTTAATCATCCTACACTAAATCATTCAGCAACTACTAAACAGTGCATGATAATTAAATGGTCAGAATGATTAAGAGACTTTTATGATATAGTACAAAATGAAATTTGCTTGTTTTGTAATTGTTCAAAATAAAATTATTGCTATGAATAATTTAGGAAGACCAAATATACAAAATCGTTTAGATGGTTTTAAAATCATTAAAAATATGTATTTATATTTTTTGTCAAACAAGATTTATCTCTTAATATATAAAATTATTAAAAGATAAACAAACAAATGAATTGTATCACATCCACCAATTTCGATTATTGTTACTTTCACAATCCCTCTGGTATCATCATATTGGATGGTCTAAATCATAATAATTATCATCCCATGTTTTATTTATTTCTAGTTAATATCAACAAAAAAAAATCCTCTTTTTCATATTTTGTTCGTTTCTAGTTAATATGGACAAATTTAAATGTCTTAAAAACATGATATTTTAAAAAATATATAACATTAATATAATTAATCGTAATTCATATTTTTCATAAAATTTTAGCTTATTACAAATATTTAAATATTCTGTTACAAGTTAAATTTATCGAGCTAGCATTAAATCAAATTTCAAAAATAAAAAAGCTTATTTTGATAAAATACTTTTTTTAATTTTTAATGAAAACAAATTCTACAATAAACAAATGAATCAGTGCGTTTTTTTAATTGTTTTACCAAGCTTATATTTTATGTGATAAACAATCAAATATATTATCATGTTAATTTATGTGATAAACAATCAAATATATTATCATGTTAATTTATGTGATAAATAATCAAATATATATATATATATATATATATATATATATTATCATATTAATTTATGAAAAGGAAATATAACTTGGTTACATATTGCATAAAAAAGTTAAAAATGTCTTTGTTATATCAAATATCTTTGGTATGGATATCATGAAAGTGACGTATCCTTTCGTGTTTGGTAACGTTACGACATCTCCCACGTTGATGTGTACCAGATATGTAGTGACATTTTATATATCATATATTCCATGTTATTAATAATTTTATTGGTGGTTTTAAGTTGGTTTGTAATAGTAGGTTAGTTCCTTAGTCATATCACCGAAGGAAATTTTCTGTTGATAATTAGAGAAATTAACAAAAATAGCAGTTTCAGTAGGTCGGATTTAGCTCTTACCCATTTTTCTTCCTAACTTATTCAAAAAATCACTACCTTTACAAATAACACATCTTTGACTTACGGAGGTGGCTACGATATCATAAGGTTGTTACGATATCATAAACCAGTTGTGGAAGTGCTTGGTTACAAGGCACGTGGCACCCTTGGAGGTGCCCCATGGAGATGCATATTTACTCGAATCAATTTTATTTAAACATCCTTTTGTAAGTTGAGGAGTTGTTACCTGTAGAAGTGATGACTTTTTGAAAATTTTGGTGGAGAAATGACTAATAGGTAAATTTAGTCAATTGAAATGGCTATTTATGCTATTTTCCCCTATGTTATATACGGATTTTCGACAGAGTAGTAAGACACACGTGAACCAAAATTAGAAAATAAAATCTAGAAACTATTGAGGAATTAGCGACAAAAGAAACTGTCATTAAGTTGTCGCTGAATATTACCATTACTGACGGATCAACAACCAATGAGTGATAGCCTCTAAAGCCGTTGGTCAAGGGTTTAATTTTCATATTATTTTACTTTGTTTTCTAAACTTTGTAGGTAATCCATTGGTAAATAATACATAATGTCGACGAACCTGCAATAAACTTCTTATCTTTAATGTTTTTTAATCCGTCGGCAAAATAATTAGTAATTTACTGATGGATTATCAATGGTCTTTTTACAAGAAAATAAAAATTATATAACTTGTATATGTAAATATATTATTGTGTATCAGGTCATACCGGGTGATCTTCAATGAATATATATCATGTACTTTGGTCATATTATCTTGTAACGAGTCATTGTAGGTTAAAGCTATGAGATATAATGGTCAAGTTGGGTTCTAAATGAGTGATGATGAGCATGGAGTTTGCCTTTGTTTTTGAACAACAATTGGGGCGAAAATGATGTTTGTTAGATTGTCAAAATGGGTGAATCAGAGCAGAGGATGAGCATAGAGTTTTTGGTTGCAATGGAAACAAGTGTGCAAATGGGTTTGTACAGTAGATATATTTAGTAGAGGAGTTTTTTGGCTGTAGTTTTAATCGTGATTTTAGTGTCATTAGATCATTTGATGTATTTGGATTTACAAAGGATGAAGTGGTTTATGTTAAGCTATAACAGGGGTTAGTAAGTGTGGAGGATATACTTGTATAAACTAACTTGAACCTATAATATGTTGGCATTGACATACAATAGGAGTCAAGAGGGTCGCACCCCCTTGCGGGGTTTAAGGGCAACCCCCTTGTACAAGTAGCATACGCTAATTTATTGTGTTCAAATTCTATGTTTATGTTCAATGTCTGAGGGTTCAATGCCTGTAATCAATGACGCTAATCAACATACCTTCACTGACACTGGTTAGGGTGAGTGCTCACTCACTAACGATGCTGATTGACGAACTATTGTTTAACTGTACTATAACCTCTTATAACTCTGGAGTAATTGTTGGTAACCTCTTACCTTTAGAAAGTGTCTTCATTTTGTTTTTACATATAAACTTAACTAATCTTGATGTTTTACTCTTTTTTTTTTTTTTTTTGTTGTCTAAAAACAGATTATGAATGTGGATTATTTTCAAGTAAATTTCGTGATCAAAACAAAATATACTATCGAAATATTATTTTATGAAGAGTGTTGTCTGAACCCTTGGAAGTTTAAATGTGTGATTTATGGATTAATTTCATGAATGTAAAAATTAAAAAATGGCATCCAATTTAAGTTGGGGGAAAGGGTTTATAAAATGATTTTAATGAATTAATTTTTTTATGTAAATTTTCGCTGTTAAAATACCAGTAATACACGAACAATGGGAACTGCATTATTGAGTAGAGGCACGGGTCACAGCCGCCGTTATATAAAGCTCACTTTTCCCTACGTTCGCAACCCCACTCCATCACTGTCGTCTCGCTCTTTCTCACTTACCATTTCTCTCACACACAGCTCTCCCGATCGTCGGAAATGGCTTTCGATAAGATCAAGGTTACAAACCCCATCGTTGAGATGGACGGTGAGTCAAAAACTCAATCTATGATTACATTTTCCTCTTTGTCTATATGTCCTGCTTCTGCTCCTTTCCCTTTTTCATGCTCAGATCTATCAACTTAATTTGAGCAGATAGATCTCTCTTCTGTACCGTTATTTAGTTGCTCATATGTATCATACTTTTCACGCACGATCTGATTAGCGATTGTTAAAATATCTATATAGATTTCATCTTTCCAAACTATGAGACATCTGTTTTCTGATTCGGATCGGTCATCTATACAGACAATCAAGTGGTTTAATTCATATGAAAATCCTTGCCATCTTTCATTCTTAATCAGCCCTCGGTTGATACGCGATTGCTATTTATTTAACTCATGAATTTGAAAAATATGGCAAAATGATTTTGTCCAACCTAACATCAGTGGGTACTGGGAGTAATCTTTTGCAGAACAGGGTAGAGGGTAGTGTTTGAAAGCATATAACTTCTGGTTGTGTAAATCTTGTACTTTGACTTCTTATTATCAATATCATCAATATTGTTGCTACCTCTGTCTCAAAATAACTGCAATCATTTACTTCTCTCAAAACCAATGGAACAATTTGCTTGGCTAAGTTTGAGTATAGAAGACCTATTTGTGGTCCAGGCTGCAAAACACTGATATAATTAATTTTGGTAAGCGAGATTCCCTCTCTTTTGTTACATATTGAATGATAATCAAACTGCCTTGTTAAATTATGAGCTATTGCATTATATTTAGGAAGGAGGGAGTATTATCTTTGCAACTCAATTATTGGGTTTGTTTCTCTACTTGTGGAGTTGTGATCTTATTATTCTTTGATGTGGTTATTTAGTAAAACCCACCTTTTCCAAGCTGTGGGGTGGGGGCTGTCTTCAGTGGTTGCATGATTATGTCATTTAAATTATTCTTGTAAAAACTCATAGCCCAAACTTGTGTTCAAGTGTCCCATGTAATTAGTAGAGGAGCAATGACATATAGTAATAGGTCTGCATTATTTATATATGTGGAAAGTAGTGCTCGGGCCTGTAACTTCTATCTTTGGTGCAGGAGACGAAATGACTCGCATCTTTTGGCAATCGATAAAAGATAAGGTCGTATTATTTACTAATTGTTTTGAGGTTGAATTTTGCTTTTTTGGATTATATTGCTAAGGTTGAAAAGCTGTTTTATATACTGCAGCTCATCTTTCCCTTCGTAGATCTAGACATAAAGTATTATGACCTTGGCCTTCCTAATCGTGATGCGACTGATGATAAAGTCACCATAGAAAGTGCCGAAGCGACCCTCAAGTACGTTTACTTGTTGCTACCTTTTCTTCTCCACTTCTTTATGTTGCTAGTTTTATGATAGGCTAGATTTATTTATTTTTTATTTTTCCATCTATGTGGCTTAAGGCCACCTCCTTGTATTTTCCCTTGTTTTTCTAGACTCTGACTGCCATTTTGTTTCTCCAAACTGATATGCTCGATAAAACCTTAGGTACAATGTTGCAATTAAGTGTGCCACCATTACTCCAGGTATGTTAAATTTATTCATCCTGTTATTTAGTGGAGCACTGCACAGATTAGCACCTTTTCCATAGAGAAATTGATAGAGTGATCCACTTACAGATGAGGCTCGAATGAAGGAGTTTACCTTGAAAAGCATGTGGAAGAGTCCGAATGGGACAATCAGGAATATATTGAACGGTTAGTGATATTCACCACGTGAAAGATGTTGAAACTATTATGTGCACTGCACATATGGATTTCAATGTGTATGGGCTCACTACATTTGCACTTTCTGCAGGCACCGTTTTTAGAGAACCAATTCTTTGCAAAAACATCCCCAAGCTAATTCCAGGTAATTAGCAATTTGGAATTTGGTTTGCTATTTTGATTCTTGTGGTTTCTTCTTTTTAATGTCATGGAACTATGTTGGCTGTTATATCTAGGATGGACAAAGCCGATATGCATCGGAAGGCATGCATTTGGTGATCAGTACAAAGCTACTGATGCAGTTATTAAAGGACCTGGGAAGCTGAAGATGGTGTTTGGTATGATTAATACTTCTCTCTCCCCATGAGACCCGTTCATACATTAACATAGTTTGAGGTCTTTGAACACTAGATTCAGGCAGACAATCATGAAACATCCCTCCCTTATAATAATCTTGTTCTTCTTTTAAACAATTTTTCATGACAAATTTTTACAAGGGTGTTGATCTTTTCTTGCAGTTCCTGAAGGAGAAGGTGAAAAGACGGAGTTGGAGGTTTACAACTTCACTGGTGCTGGAGGGGTAGCTTTGTCAATGTACAACACTGACGAGGTATTTCTCTACAATCACCAGGATTTTCTACTATCATTTTCCAGATTTATATGTCCAGTACAGTCTGATGTATATGACATTTTGTTGAATAGTCCATTCGTGCTTTTGCTGAGGCCTCAATGAACACAGCTTATGAGAAAAAGTGGCCACTCTATCTTAGCACAAAGAATACCATTCTTAAGAAATATGATGGAAGGTAAGTAGCATTAGTGGGTTTCGTGTTATCTTGTCTATCCTTTAACTTCTTATCTGGCATTTGTGGGTTTCTTGTCAACTTGTATATCCTTTAACATCACAAAGTCAGTAATTCCGTTTACTTGTAAACATGTCAATTAGACATCTTATATGTCATGTAATTATAGATTTACTGATATCTTCTTGTGGTCATTCTTTTGCCTCTGCTTTTGAGATCTCCCTTTTGATGCGTTTATCAATATATTTCTTTTCTTTTGATAAAGATTCAAGGACATATTTCAAGAAGTCTATGAGAGCAACTGGAAGTCAAAGTTTGAGGCTGCTGGGATATGGTGAGGAGCTGAACTATTAATTTGTAATATTCTAAGAAATTGTAGGTTTCATTTGTCATCACCTTTTTGTGGTTCATTTGTAGGTATGAACACCGTCTCATTGATGATATGGTTGCTTATGCTCTTAAGAGTGATGGAGGTTACGTATGGGCATGCAAAAACTATGATGGTGATGTGCAAAGTGATATGTTAGCACAAGGTAGAGTTACAGTCTATTGCTACACTGATTTTCTCACGATGATCTGCATACCTCATTCCGTTCTCCTTTGATTTAGAATTTTAATTGTCAACTTAATTTGATTTCACATTTACAGGGTTCGGATCTCTTGGATTGATGACATCAGTCTTGGTATACCCATCTGCTCTCTTCCCCTCATTCAGATCTAGATCTTTTTGGCAACTTCATATCTATATTTTTGCTTTCATCTCCTACTTTCAAAGGCAGATCCAGAAAAAATTCAAATGAGGGCACAAAATAATTAGCATATATAAATTAAAATGGAAAACAATTATAAAAAGCATGGTTTAATTAAAAATGACATAAGATTAGTTCTTCTTTTCATTTCTGCTGTTGTTACCAAAAGAAAAATTAAGAAAAAAGCCAAACGGAGTCAAACTTGCTATGTGGCATTCCATGTTCAATGACTCTACTATTAGGCTGCAACCACTTTTTTTGTTAACTTAGGGGAGCACATATCAAATTAAAGTGGTGCACCTTAAGACTCCTTGGAAAGTACGTCGGCACGATAGAGACCCCTCCCTCCTTAAATATTCCCCTGCCTATACTTTTACTTGGATCATGTTCAAAGAGATGAGCAGAATAAGTGTTTTTGTTGTTTATATAGATTTCATTAATGTGTAATTGTAATGGGTTCTGGTTTAGGTGTGTCCTGATGGGAAGACCATTGAAGCTGAGGCAGCCCATGGCACTGTAACGCGTCACTACAGGGTGCACCAAAAGGGAGGGGAAACCAGCACAAATAGCATAGCCTCAATCTTTGCTTGGACACGGGGGCTCGCCCACAGGTTAAATCTTTATTCACTCGGCAAAAAGAATTTATCATATTCGAATTTTAACCTATGAGTATGATGTCTTTGTTTTCTCTAAAACACTTGGAATATGAATTGTAATTCAGGGCAAAGTTAGACAACAACTCTAAGCTTTTGGAATTCACTGAGAAGCTGGAAGCAGCATGTATTGGAACTGTTGAATCTGGGAAAATGACAAAGGATCTTGCACTCATTATTCATGGATCCAAGTAAGTGATTTTGGTGTTCATCTATATATTTTCGCGATTCCATGAAAATTACAATGCTTGACTTGAGGGTAATTCATAAGAAATGCTTTGACAAATAACAAAATGTCTTGAATGCCCTTGCAAAACGGGAAATCTTGTGCACCCAATACTCGAATACCATCACTTGATAGTTTTGACAGGGGACATATAAGTAATTCTGGATTAATCAAAAAAGAAATGTTGCGATGGATTTCAGGCTGAGTAGGGAGCACTATTTGAACACGGAAGAATTTATCGACTCTGTAGCAAGCGAGCTGAAAGCAAGACTTGTGGGCAAATCATCACTGTATGTATTATTGGACGATAAAGAATTTGTACATCTTTTCAGAAAATCCTGTTTGCATTTTAGTAAAAAGTATTGATGAACCAAGCATGTGTTGTGTTTTATGCAGGTAAGGTGACAGTTGAGAGTAATGGTACATGAGGAAGATTTATGTGGTATGGTTGTGTTTAATCGTCCTTCATTTGTGTACTCTTATCTATTTCTGGAATTAGGTTCTTTGTTTGATTGAATTCAGGAAAGCTACACATAGACATCACCATGGTTATGCTTATGGTCATTTGAAGGATTTGTTTCATATTTTTATCAAAGGGACCTAGTTTCATCAATTTCAGTCTCAAGGGAACTTTTATGTTCACAAAATTAGGAAAAATACCGTTAGAAATTTGGTTGGTGCTTCTGTTTTGATTGTTTAGATATCCGGCCTTCCAATCGAACACATCCGCATATACACATAAGAGATAGAGTCATTCAGGTATATGATCTTAAATGAGATTTTAATTAAATTCATGATTTTCTGATTAGTGTGAAACATTCACTTTTCTTTTAATCCGTCATAAAGGCTTGAATTTAAATAAAATTTCATTTAAGATTATATAGATAAATGGCTGGTATAATTTAACACCTCTATGCTCTCTACTTAGGGCAACTCCAATCGAACGGCAAAACTAAGGTTTGCCGTTCTTTTGGTTCCAATCGGCCTGCAAAATACCAAACTTATAGCGTGTCTTCAAAATATGCCGGGGAAGATGATGGACGGCAAATTGCCAATTAGGTGGTCCCCACAACTTTTTATAATATTTAATGATTTTTAAATAAGTTATAAATAAATAAAAAATTATAAATATTAAGTTTTAGGTTTTTATATTTATTATTTAAATTTATTATATATATATATATATATATATATATATAATAAATTATTAATAACATAAATATGATACCGGATAAACGTAAACATATTTTATTAATGAAAATTTTAAAAACTGAAATACATAAATTAAAGGGTCCAATCGTCTCCGCTAGGCATAAACTGACTAAAGCTTCCTGTTACGTTTTGAGATCCTTCGGATTGGTTTTGAGCTGCTTCAAATTGTTGATGTTGAAATACTCGATATTGAGATGCTACGAATTCTGATCCTTATCCAGACATATGGACCTGGGGTTGTGCTATTTGAACTAATGTAATATTTTTAAATATAAAATTTATTAATTACAATTTTATCGTTTTTATTTTAACATTTCTTCATTAAATAAATTAATTACTAATTCTTTATTATTATAATATCTATTACAAATTATAAATATTGTTATTAAAAATAGTAAATAAAATATGTTATTTTAATATGGGGTCTACAAATTTGGTGTTTTTTTTTAGAGTGTGATTGAAGTTGAATTTTTTTTTTTGGTGTTTATGGGCCAATCAGATTTGGTGTTTTTGATGTTGAGGTTGGAGTTGCCCTTACAATAGGGGTGAAGGTATGTCCAATGGTGTATGGATGTCTAGGAGGAGAGAGAAATATTTTTTATTAGGATGATAAAATGATAGCAAATTTTAATAATGCAATTAATATTGAAATATTTAAAATAAAGAATTTGTTGGAGTTAAATGCAATTATTTTTATAAATTTTAACTTTTGATTTCTTATTTTAAAAAGGGGTAAAATTTACAAAATAATATATAAAACAGTATATGAAATAAAATCTTTTTTACCATTATGTAATTTTTTTGTTAAATTAAATATTATATTTTATAAATAAAAAAACACTCTTAAAATTCTGCAAACAAATCAAAATAGCTAACACATACAAGCATTACCAATACAATTTATATTATAATTTTTAGTAAATATATTTGATTAAATTTATAATATTTAAATGATAAAAATATTAAAATTAAATATTGTAATAGAAATTGGTGATGTTATAATAAAGTAATTTTGAAAGTATAAATGCTATAATAAGAAATGTCATGTCAGCACTATCGTACATGTGAACAGCCTACATGGACGATAATGTGACAAATAAACCTGGTATATTGTATAAATTTAATTTAAAAGGTTACCCAATGTTATAACGGGTAAATTTTTAAAAGTACGATATCCTAATAAAAAATATTTTAAAAGTATATTATTGTAATAAGGAAAACTGAAAATAAAAAATATTATAATGAAAATTTTATAAAAATAAGTTACTATTTCATGTATTTTACCTTTTTAAAAATCTATAAGAAAGTTGCCTATAATGAAGTTTTGAGGTTGTTATTTTAAATTGAATTTTATGCAACATAAAAAATGTAAAATTGAAGCTATGCCAACCACTTCCTTGTGGATGCTAATATATTCACTCCCTAAAGCAAAACTTCACTCCACTTATTTATAAACCCAACAACACTTTTCATTTGTATCAGAGTAAACGTTTTCAATTTTCAACGGATATTGTCTATAAATTTTAAAAACTCAGGTTTGATTCTTTATGTTTGTCAATTTCTAAACGTTTTTGTCCATTTTCTAACATTTATTAACTTTTTCGGTTAAGTCCAATTAAATAAGAAGTATTTTAATCATTTTACATGTATTTCATATGTTTCTATTAAAGTTCAAATATATGTATGTGTGTGTGTGTGTGTGTGTGTGTGTGTGTGTGTGTGTGTGTATCTATACTATATTATAAAATATTTGACAATATACTCTTAAAAACTATTTTAACAATAAAATTAATGTTAGAATCTTCCTAAAAAAGAAAGTTGTTCAGGTTGAATATATATATTTTTTAAGATTTTGATTTTAATTTTACATACTTCTACGTTACGATTCGTCCATCGAGGGTGAGTCAAGGTCTAAGATTAGATCGACGAAACCTAGAAATCGATCACTAATACAATTTGATGCACATATGTTACAATTGTAACATATTGAACCAAGAGCTAATAAATTTATCAACTTTTAAAAACATATCTCATTTCTCATTAATTATAGCTCGATTACAACATTTTCAACAACTATGTTACTTTAAAAGTTTTTAAAATTTGAGAAAAAAATTATTTTAATAGTTAGGCTAAGCTCTCTTTCAAAATAAAAAAATAAAAAATCTACAATTTAAAAAAGAAAAAAAAATATATAACATAGAGAAAATTTTACATTTCTCACTATAACAGATATGTTCGAAGCGCTCTTTAAAAGTTTAAATAAAGATCAAATATGTTTAGAAAAATAAATATTATTGGTTAGAAGTAAATATTTTATGTGATCAAATAACAAAAGAAAATTACTTTTGTTTATCTAAAAAGACATGGTGATTTGGGTCCGGCCCAACCCTGGTTGCTGGAGGATTGGAACCGGGACCGGGAACGGCAAAGGACTAGCCTAGTCCGGGACTGGTAATGACTGGTTATGGAACCATAGTTTGGGATTGGTTATGGTTTTGGGCTGTTTTGAGGGATCGGTTAAGGGACCAGTCCAAAATTTTAAAAAACCTAGCCGTTTTTCTAGCTGTTATATGATCGTTTTTTGCAAAATGTTACCGTTCTTTTTTTTTAGGGTAGTTTTAGCCCCCTAAACACTATATATATATATATATATGTGTGTGTGTGTGTGTGTGTGTGTGTGTGTATGGTGTATGAAATAAGATACAAACTTACAAAATGTAAAAAACACAAAAAAGTTCAAAATTCTCGATATAAAATATATTTTTAAAGTGTATTTGAGTGAACCAATTACATATATTAAAATGTATTAGATTAACATATATTGTTAAAAGTTTATCAACAAAAAGAATAAAAATATATATAATTTTTTTAATATATGACCTAACCAGTCCGCGGCTACATCTCCATGTTTTTGACGGGTTCAGGACCAGTCCGACATGTTATTGTTTTCGGCCCGGGACCGATTATTTTTGGCCATGTCTAATTAATAACAAGTATTGTTATTGTTGTTGTTTTTATATATTTGTGAAATAAATGATTTCAATCATTGTTTTCTCTAGCATTTGTGAAGAAATTATTATTTTGACTAGGATATATAAAAAACTATCTTTGTTATTTTTTTCTTATTAACCTGGATATCCAACATGCTATGTGAGCCGACTAATCTCAGGGTGACCATCCGTTTTGCCGGTAGTCCGAAGTCATTGCATTTGAACTTCCGTGGTCACAAGAGGATTTTTTATTCCTCCTTAGATTCGAATCTGAGATCTCCAGACACTTTTTGACCTTTGGAGCCTAATGTTTGTTATTTTGTTATACTTGAGAAGAGATACACATATTTTTGACATGTTAAAGTCATGAAAAAACACCAATATTTCCAAAATCGACCACATCAGTTGATACGAAAAGAGTTGAACAATGTTCAGATACATAAGATAAAGTTAACTACATTTGTGTGTTCCGACCTACGGGGTTTTTTTTAGAATTTAACTGGAATTTTTGTTTTATTTTGTCTCTCAAGCACTTCACGTTACGAAAAACTAAAAAAAACATAGAATGTGTATCAAAATGTAAAAGAATAACAAGTCACAACGCACAATAAAATACCATTGATGCAACATGAATAACGTCACTTATATTTCATATACAAGGTAATTTTGTAATACAACTTGATAATAGAGTTCTCTCATGTTCATATTTATCTCATATTTGTTTAGACCGATTCTGGTGTCGGTGCGACTGCAGGTGCTGATATTAGAGTGTCTGGTGCCAGTGCAGGTGTTGATATTGGAGTGTTTGGTGGCAATGCTTGTGGACTATGGGAATGGTGATGGTGATGATGCTTTTCATGCGCGTGCTTGTGATGATGATTTTCATGCTCGTGCTTGTGATGGTGTTTGTGTTTATGTGAGGGTTTCGGGATCGGAGCTGATACTGGTGCATTTGATGGTGGAATCAAAAAAGGCACATCTTCATCGTTTATGCTTAGTCCCAAGTTCGCTAGACTGGCATAAATTTCTTGAAGATCTTCATTTGAAAGAGTTATATCGTTGTTGGTATCAACAATAGGTGATGTCGGAATGACTTTAGCAATGGATGGTGTTGTGAGAACCACCATTACAACAAACAAAATAAACATATATCTGATACTCATGATTTGTGGATGTTAGAGATAGATGTTGGAAGAGATGTTTGCTTCTTTTATAGGTTGAAAGGAACTTAACAGATATATTTTTCATTTATGCAAATAAAGTCAAATATGCATTTATTCATCATCCATAAATGGTCAAACAAAATATTTTCTCATTAAAATTATAAAAAAATTAACAAATTTGAAAATGTTGATTTTCTTGCCAAATAGTTAATCTGGCAGTATTAAATTACATATCTTATACGTGGTTATTCTATTTA